GAAAGGAAATGAAAGGCATAAACTTGATATTAATGAAAGCAAAACTTAAGCAATACAAAGAGAGAAAGCAAGATCATGATCTTGATCTGGAAACCAAGATGCCTAAATGCATGGCACATAATTTCTTTTATAGGCCAAAATTAGGAACAATTGATTTGATGACTAATTGATGAGTCGGTGGTCAACTCTTGACTTGGTGACAATCTTTATCCTCGTTTGTCTCAATAACACATAATAGATAACGTTAGAATTAGAACCACTTGTACTCTAAAAGTTTTAGGAAATTTTCTCACCTTTCCAGGAAAAACAATTAAGGTCGTTTTGACTTTTAGAATTCAAGATATGGGTTGAACAATGAATAGTGTCTGGGTTGCAAGACAGATTCAGACTTTTTCATTGTTGCTACAATTTGGACTTGAAAACAGCCTTTTTAAACTAGGCCTCCAATGAAAGTTGTAGGTCTATGTCTTACCTTTCCATTCATATAAAGTAGACCTAAATCCAAGATCTACAACTCCATATATGACCCAATTACTGAACAGTGTTCCGGTTTGGAATGCACGAGCATCTATTTTCTAAGTTTGGCCATCTCTTTTTCCTTTCAATTTCAAAACTTAAACTCATCAATCAATCCTTTTATTTATGTGATAAGCCAGCATTTAAAATGAATATTTACCACAAATTAAAGATACATTATATTATTAGATATGTTATTATAAAACATGTTTAGTTAAAGAGTTATTGATACTTCAAGTGCAAAATAATGATATAAAACCTTGATAAAAATATATTTTTAAATACTAATCACTGTGGGGCCAGAGATAAATTAATGAATGAACTTCTTTCTTTATTGATTATTCTATCCTCACCTACGAGCTTATTCCCTGGCATAAAATTCTTTTGATCTTATAACACAAAAAGTTGGTCATGATGATACAGTTTTTTTTTTGTTCTATATAGTGTTTTCAGGAGAGTCTTCTGTCTCACAAGGATCATGGAGGCAGAACAACATCAACAAAATGTTTACCAAGTTTTTGTTTCTTAACAACTTTCTTGGAACATATGACTTTCCAATTCTCGTGTATGAACGTTTCTTTCCTTTGCTTGATGATGTCTTCCTTTTAGACTTCTCAAGAATGTTTCCCTTTTAGCAATCTGGAGGTAAGGTCAAGCCTTTCTAGCTATGGGATGTAATATGGGGATTGCATTGAATTCTATATTATCTGTCTTGTTTTTTCATTTCATTTTGGGTAATTTTTTATCTGATAAGTCAATCTTGTCTTGTTCTAGGTGATTCTCAGTTCATGTGTTTTACTTGTGTGATCTTCTTTACACTATTTCTCTATTGTTGCCTTGTTGTTGTTGATTGTAATTTGTAAACATGTGTTCATCTATCGTATATACACACACAAACATAAACAATATGCTCTCTTTTGGAATTTAGGCAGGTTATGGTCTTCCCATCTACTATTTAGTTTTTCTAATTTTGTTATACAATATTATTAGATTGGTGTTGTATTCCATGACTTTTGGATTGGAAGTTGAAACATTAATATCATTATCTTTTGAGCTCGTTGGTTCTGCTCAGCTATTTTACTGGAGGTTGTTTAATGGTCATTACTGCTTTCACTAATACCTAATTGCTTGACTTGTTATTTTTCTCTTCTTGTGTTTTATTATGATTATGATCAGTAGTAGTTGCAAGTTGTTTCCCCTCAGTGGAGATGTCTGTTGTGCTAGACTAGTATTTATTTGAATTATGTTGGGATTCTCTCCCTCCCTCTAAAGCTATATGATTATATGTATATTTTTTTTCCTTTTTTATTCTCCTTATTAAAGTGGAGTTGTCAAGGTAGCTAAAAAGGTTTATCTTCTATAAAATTAATGAGCTAATTGCTAGGAAGAATAAACTATTTTAGGAATTCAAAACTAACATGTATTGATATTATCTTACAAATTTCAATCACTCATTTTAGTTTTTTTTTGCATTCTTTCTGAATAATGGATTTTTATTCAGGAATTGTCTGCTATGATTCAGTGTTGCAAGATTGTCAGACTGAAAATCTAAGATGTAATAAAACGTCTTTGGAATCCTTGCAATGACGCAGGAAATCATGTCATTTTGATGAATAACTTGAGCAATCAAACCAACTTGAGAATGTTATCATTGTGCTGTCATTCCTGCTATGTCATTTCTGCTAGTTTTTTTTTTTTTATCTTGCTATTATTGATACGTTTTAATTTCCAAAATTTCCAGTTGAGGATTTGTTTTGCAATTTGTCCCCCACCCCCTCCCCCCCTAAAAAAAGAACAAAAAAAAAGCATTTGTTTGCAACTATTTCAATTATCTTTCTCTGGGCAAAGTTCTTTAGGATGTGCATGCTAAATTTAAAGCAAAGATGGCAAGGAGTTTTGCTTTTTAAGTTAAATTAAAGTGAACTATAGCATAAACATTTCTATTATTTAGGATATGTGCTTGTTTAATAATGACTAGCCTTCTTAGAATCCTAAAGTTAGGCAAATATTAGGACTCATGTGTGTTTTAAAATTATCTGCTTTGCCAGCATATGTTAGTTGAACAACATGTATGAGCAGCTTAATTTTAGCATCGCCATGTTTGCGATGTTTTTTGGTGTCCTGATTTCCCTTGGAAAGTAATCATAAAAGCATAGCTGGACGGAACACTCGTAAGGTTAAGGATACTTGCATACACACACTGTAATTCATATTTAAGCTTCTTCTAAAGATTTATATGTTACCATAAAGCTAATTTATTCTTGATGAACTATTTTGATTTTGCCTAAAATTAGAACGTTAATGGGATGGACTGACCAAAAATATGATGTTGAGATATATATATATATATATATATGATGCCCAGCTAACCTTCTCTATCAGCCAATCATCTCATTCATTGGTTATCACCTCAGTTACAAGTCTTTAAAGATCAAACACTCTGCATTCCTTGAGTTTCATATTGGCAAGTGGTCCACTGATCTCTCTGATGCATCATATCTTCACATCGGATGCTTCTTGAATTATCGTCTTTATCTTCAAGAAGGCAAAGCGTACCTTGTAGCATATATCTCTGGGCATAATTCTCCCAATAGCTGCTGCCCACTTTGTTTCTTCCCGGCCATCATTTTTCACCATAGCCACTGTTTGAAAGAAGTTTCCAGTGGTAATTTGTTGACTAATATTTCATTCACAACATCAAACATAAGTTTTCCTTGAGTTTCTGATTGGGAAATTTGTTTTACTATTCCGATCATTATTGAGTTCTTATATATACTTGCATGTAGGGGTCACATTGCATGCAACCATGTGTGCAAATGATTTCAAGTTTGTAAATATGATCAATCTGAATGCTTTTCACTGTGTCTTCTCCAGTGGTAATTTGTTGACTAACATCATCAATTTCACTAGTATCAGTCGATTGATTAAATTATGTTGTCCAACTTTGTCCCATTTCAAAAGGTATAAAGATGTCTTCTTATCCAAAGTTCTAATAATAAAAGATTAAAATGATTATTGGAAAGAAAACTTCATACTAGGACCTTCTACACTCTTTGTTGATAAAACCCAACAAAATAGACTGAAGGATTAGTTCACAAGAATTATTCCATGCTCATAGTGAACTTGCAACAAAGGTGGTTAAAGGAAGGATAAACTCTCTGTAATGATATCAAGCTTAAATGACACCTTGAAGAGCAAAAAAAAACATAATAAGCATATTTTATAGATTTTCTTCTATATCTTCTGGATCATAAGGCTGCAAAAATATGAAAATTGTATGACTAAAATCCTTTCTTGGATGAGTATGAATGTGCTCACAAAAAAAAGGTCTCATGTTAGAAAAAACAAGATCTTCTTGGAATTGTCTTAATGCCATAATCTAAGTCACAACTCTAATAGGAGTTCTACTTCATTAACTAGAGAAATGGACAGAAAAACCTATTCTCTGTAAAAATTCCTTAATAGGGCATAAAAGAAATCCTATTGTCAAAGAACCCACAGTTGCATATCTCAATTTTGAAATAAAAAAATAAAAAATCAAAGACTATAAACAACATATTGCTTATTTAAAATTTAATTACTAGAATAAATCCTCTAATCAAAACCTCCTATAAGAATATATTTCTAATTTATAATATGTCATAAAAATCTTTAATTTAGAAAATGAATAGCATGCATTGGATTAATATCATTGACAAAGTTATCACTTAGAAATGATATACTCAAATCACACTGTCATTATAAAAAAAAAAGAGGATTAACTACTGAAGGTTTAGTTGATGTAATAGCTGATTTAATTGCATAGTTAAAGGATTAATATCATCTAAACATCTCACAAAACCCTTTTAGTATTGCTAATAAACAGACTTTAATAACTCAATATAAACTCTCTTATGCTACCATTTATTAAAAAAAAAAAAAGGAATTCGTATCCCAGTACCTTTTGTCATGGCTAAAAACATTTCCTTAGGAATAATTCTAGGTAATTATTTCCTCCATACAAAGTATTTTTTTTTTATCATAAATCTTGATGAGATTGCATCACAACCAAAATAAAGGTTCACCAAATATATTTTTCCCTTTGTGATGAGAATTTTATGAATATAAAGATTAAAAAATTCACAATTAAATTGATAATTTTCAAAAAAATCAAATTTAAGTTTGTAATTGAGTTTGACACAATGATAATTTGTACTAAAACATTAAACATATAAAAACACCCTTATCCAACACCTATAAAGAGTATGAACGAGAAGTATAGAAGACTCTATGAAACCTAGTTAATTCTTCAGTAAATCAAAGTAGTTGAATGCAAAACCAAATTAAGAGAATTTTCTCTCTTACACATGATAGATTATTCTACAATCAAAATTAATTAAAAAAATCTAAATATAAGCTAAATAACCCATTTATAATAAATAAAAATAGTGTAAACAAGTCTGGAAAAAAATAATAAAAGAGTTCTATATAAAATAGAAAAAATAATCCTAAATCAACTAGAAAATTAATATAATTCCTGCACAGTAACTTTTAGACCTTGTCACAAAGCCTTTCTGACATTCTATTTACTTGAACTTTTAACCCAATATAAAACAAGACATCTTAAATCTTTTGATAAATTTTCAGCCTGATCCTGCTATCAGATTGAAAATAAAACTGTGTATTAGAAAAAATAAGCTAAAAAATCACTTCTGATTTCTTTGAAATGATAAGGAAAGCACCACTTTGTTTTTTTCGGTCAACATGTTTTATGTAGCCGCTGTTTGGAAGAATTTTTTTTATGGTAATTTGTTGACTAATATTTCATTCACAACATCGAACATAAGTTTTCTTTGAATTTTGGCTTAAGTTTGTGACTGAGAAATCTTTTTACGGTTGTAATCATCATCGAGTTCTTGAAAATAATCTCAATTTCTTCCACCTATGATTTCCTTGTAAAAAAGAAATCCTTGCTAAATAAATAGTCCATAAATTATAAGGAAACAAATAGCAAAACCTGTATAACAACTTATGACTTGTCTTCAAACACATCGTTCTCTCTCGTTTGGATGAATTACTAGGCCTACTATATATGGATGAAAAACTTGAAATGTTTAATTTCCACCCTAATTATAATTATAGCAAAAATTATACTTGTAGCTCTAGATATTGCCCAAATAGTACATAAAGGTGTAGCTTGGTAGATTTGCAACTTGTCAACTTAAATATCTAGAATCAGCTCAATCAATTCCTCTTAGATCCTTTTAGTTTTAGAAATTGTAATAAGCCCAATTGGTACCTGTAACGTATCATTTGATGATGCTTATTGATTTGCATCATCCTTTCTTTTCTCAAAAGAATTTGTCCTCAAATCAATAATAGAAACACCATCTATAGACAACAAGTTCTCATAATCCTACAACAAAGAATCTCAAACACTAGGAATACAATAATCAAGTTTATTAATGTTAAAATATGCCTTCATATACAAAAGTAAAATTACAAGTATGTCATAAAACTAAGCATTCTTAATATTATTTTCTTTTGCATAAAACTAACTTATTTCTTTTTTTTTCCTCACTTTCTTCTTTTTTCACTTGTCATTTTCTCTCTCATATTTTCTAATAATGGTACAAGTGTGAAAGTCTTTTCATACTTTTA